CGCACCATGATCTTAAACATTAGCCTTTGCACAATCAAGAATAGCTAAAAAATGTAAAGCCAAGAGCTTATCAAATCCTTCCCATTATTTGGCTGTGAGGCTCAAGCCTGTTGCAAGTAACAAAGCTCCAGCTTCTGCAAGTCTTATTAGCATCATCTGTGCACCATCCTCAACACCAATTGGTAGGGCAGCATCACCCATAACGGATTCCTGGAATGTGGCCAGTCCCAGCAGCCAAGTTCAGTTGGCTGCATCCCAGTTCTGCAGGGTGTCTGAACATGCTGGCACAAAGAAGAGCAGCAGGGTAGCTGAACACTCTGAATCATGAGTTGGAGAGAGGTGACCATACGCTGAAGAAACCCTGTAGAGATTAGCCAAAGAACTTCAAGCCACAACTGCTTATATGTCAGCTGTTGGAAAGTAAATGCAATGGACATATTCTTTATGCAACATTGCAGTAAGAATGGCTCCTTTGGGGACCAGGTATAGGCAAGCTGGGAAGGACAGAGAAGAGCCCATGTTCATTTTCATACCCCAGGTTTCATCAGGCCTGCCCTTACATCTTGATAGATCACCAATGTTTGCTCCCATCCAACTATCATTATTTTATTCTTCAAAATAATGCCTGTCTTTACTCACCCAAGAATAACAAAGTGATAAATTAATTAGATGCAAGGAGTGTAGTCATACCATTTAAATCAGCTGGCTTATACACATCACTGAAAAACAGGGACATTTGCTAGAAACCCATGAAGTGAACCAAGAAATTCCAATCCTCTCATTTGTATGATCTGCCTTTGTGTGCACTTCCAACGTGAATTACCAAACTAGTAATTTGTCAGTATGTAATTTAAATTATTAATATGTTCTTATGGTAGACTATTATTTCACTTAAACTCTAACCACTGCTGATAAAATTATTGCTAATTATGCAAGCACTTTAAAGAGTATGATGATTTTAAAGTCATTGAAAGGGAAGTTTTTAGGCAGAGTCTGGATGACCACCTGTCAGGTAAAGATTCCTGAGGATGAGGGCAAGGTTGGTGGGAAATGATCTTGATGACCTTTCCAGCCTTTTCCATGAATATGATACAGCACAGCCATTGAAATACAGGCATAGAATTTTCAAGAGACACAATATGATCCTATGCACAATTATGTTAGATACAAAAATAGTCCAGAAATGAATATCCCACATTTAATTTTCAATTTATCCCAGGCAAATAATTTACTGATTCTCATATCGCAAAATGTTTGGAATTACACCAAACACAACACAACTGATAGTCTCCAGAAGTTGACATTTTAAGAAATCAGGAGATACAAATCATATTAGGCTAAATATGCAACAAATTTACCATGACCTATATGAACAATGACATAGCAGTTATGTGTATAAATAAAATAACAAATAGATTCAAATTATGTGTTTGGCTTTGAAATAGATGATGAGATTTCATGAAGTTCATTTGCTGTAAGTGCTACCTTAAGCGCTTTACACCAATAATCTATTTTACCCTTCACAACAACGCTATTATGGAGGTTCTGAGGCCAAGAAAAATTGAGCAACTTGCTGAAGGTCACTCAGCTAATAAGCAGCAGGGCAAAGACTTGAACCTGCCTCAAATGCTATCGTATCAGGAGCCCCCTACCCAGCACTGAGCACTGGGCTTCCTTGTTTCCTTACTTGCAGGCAATACTGAAACTAAGTTTATACCGGTGAATATGGGAGGAGGTTGTCTGAAGCCTGCCTAACAGACCAAAGAAAACTAATTTGAGTTTTAAAATGTGAATTGCACAAAGTTGGCAGGGCTCTGCAAGAAAAGGTATATGCATTCTACTACTATTATAAATAGGTTCAATATTCCTGAAAGCTATCTGTATCTTGGAATGAGAGCTATAAAACTTTTCTTGCCCTTTGACTTAGTAACTTCAGTCTTTGGAATATACCCCAAGGAAATAACACAGAAGAAAAAGGTAATTTGTCCAAGATGCTCATTCAGGAGCTATTTGAATTAGTGAAAAACCAGAAACAACCCAAATTTCCAGTAATGGGACAATGATTAAGCAAACTATGCTATGTAGAAAAAGAAAAAAAAAACCTCATAATCCCTAAAAATGGCAAATATAGACTACATTCACACGTGGACATATATGTAAGAAATAATTCTACATTATAAAGTAGACTACAAATTAGTAGAAGCATTGTCTTGTGCCAAGACTTTTTTTTTTTACTTGTGCCAAGTAAAATACTATGTGCATTAACAATCCCACAAGACAAATGTGAATTTATAAAGAAGTAGATCCTTCATTTCATTGTTGTAACTCCAAGAGTGGGACTGGCATATAGGCTATCCATAATAAAAACTTCTAGACAATTTATATGGAACTAAATTTTTAACTGAGACCAGACTGTATCTCACATGTATTAATGTGTTGTCAGTAAGAGCTATTTTTTTTTATGAGGGCTTACTATGTGCTGAGCACTCTTCCAAGTTCTATCCCTGTATTCTCTCATATAATCCCTCTATAGCCTCATGAGATAAGTATTATTATTATCATCTCTCTTCCTAGAGGAGGAAATTGGAGCACAGAAAAGCAAAACAACTTGCCCAAGGTTACACAGGCTATGGCGGAGTTGGAGTTTCAACCAGGGTAGGCTGTTGCCAGGCCTATCTGCAGCCATTATGCCACAATGTCTTCTCTTATTTGAAAGAAGTATCTAGATCTTGTTCTTTCCCATTAATCACTTATAGATTTTTTCTGCTTTTTTCATGTATAGAATCCTTGTAGGGAAGAACAATATCCAGACACACAAGTTGAGATAAAATATTCTCCATCTAGTGTCACCTGTATGAACATAATTAACTCGCTCAAACTGGTAAGACTTCTTCCAAGAAATAAGACTAGAGTAGGGTTTTTAGCTTTAACTTTTGTAATTTTTTTTAATGTAGGGTTTTTAAGTCAGGTGAGGGAATTATAGAGACTAAAAAATAAAATGCTATTCTGGACACATAGGAAAATTGCAAAGGATAAAAACCTAACACATGGAGCAAATGTAATATTCAGTTGAGGTTGAATCTAAGAGATAAGTTGCCTGGGAATAAGTGACAAATACAGAAGAACATTTAAAGTTCTTGGAAAAATGATAATTTAGAAATAAGAATTTATGTTTTATATTTACCTAGTTTCTTATATTACAAAGTATTTGTTATTTATGATCTTATTGAATTCTCATGCTGTAAATGGTGAATAGTATAGTTGACAGAGGAGAGAACTGAGAGTCAAAGATTAAGTGTCTCACCCAAAGCAGGGCACTGTCCTTAGCGGGGCTGGAACTCCATCCCAGCCCTCATTCTCAGTAGAGCTAAACGCGGATGCTCTTCAAGACAAAGCCCTGGGCAGACCTTCCCTCTAAATCATTCAGAGCTCATGAAGCCTTAGGCCGTAAGTATAAATCCACTGAGAGAAGTCCAGAAAACAAATCTGACAGAAGTGCAATCAGAGATGAGAATGAAATATACAAGAGGATCCTTTCAAGTGAAGGAGGCAGAGTGAAGGCAGGAATACCATCCATAAGCTAAACCATTTGGGAGATGTCGTGGGCAGGTAGTGGGATGTTTGAAAAAAACACAAAACTCTAATCCTTTTGTCTGAATCCTTATAAGAGGCACATGATTATAAGATTCTGTCACCGTTGGTGCAAATGCACAAAGTAACATTTTTGCTTTATCTGTACATTCCATGGAAACATTTGCTTAGTGAATGAGGTAGGCTACATTTTATACATCCCTAAATGCCCTCACCTTCTTACCTGACTCTGTCTTATGAAAACCTATGCTTTCTTGAGAGGTCAGATCAAATGCCACCTCTTCCAGAAGCATGTTATAGATCATCTTACTGATAATCTTGCTTTCTGCCTTGTTCACTCCAGGATGGCATTACATATTTGGGATTTATCTTTGTGCTTCCTACAGTCCCAACACAAGTGCCCCCACACTGTGGTTTTTCACTGAATCAGTAGGAAATTATCTGAGGTCCTATCATACTCTCAGGGTTTATAAACCTTTTCTGGGATATGGGTTATTCAAATTCAACTACAGATATGACCTCAGTAAAGGACCCTCTTCACTTAAAAATCTTGTCTCCTTATAATCATATTTTATGCTGGCCTTTTATACCAGAACATTTGCATTAATGTAATGCATTACTAATTAGTACTAGCAAATAGCAACTTCCCATCTTGAAGGCTAAATTATATAAAGTGTCTTTTTAATCAAATACATGTATGGCAGTCATCAAACTTAAACTAATTTGAAGTTTGCTTTTACCACAAATATTATAAATATTCCACCAGATTCTATTCAATACGAAGGTAATAAGAGCTTCAAAGCCAGAAAGAACTTCAGCTTTTTGAAGAGTCTCCTTTTTAATATGAGCTGGTGAATAAGCTACTGGTGAAAAACTTAAAAATTTCAGAACAAAAATACATTACTTCTACAAAAGTCAACTGCTCTTCAGGGACAAAAATAATGTTCTTTTTATTAGCAATTTGGAATAACAATTAAGTAACATTCATTTTATTGAGATTTTTATATAAGAACTGAGAAAACAATTCTTCGCAGTAGTTATGAAAACACAAGAGGAAGTGTTGAGTTTCCAAAACACAGTTTTGTTTCCCATCATCCCTATCTTCCCTTGGGTCATATGTGGTGGCAGTGTGACCCTCAATTAAAAAAGCTTACGTGTAAGTAAGATAAAGACCAGGGAAGGATACTACTGAAGCTTGCAATGCTTCACATTCTATGTACCACATTCAATGTACCACATTCTATGAAATATTCAAAACGTCTGCTACATTTTGTAGAACACAAGAAAAGTTCTTTGATCTATGAATGGGTTAATCCAACAGCTATTCATGCAAGTCCTGTCGTTTTCAGGGAGAAGAGCAATCGATGATCAAGAAGGAGAGTACAAGTCACAAAAGCATGAAAACTTACTTTTTCATCATCTTCTGTAAATGGAGCACCTTCAGGAATCTTATTTATCGCCTGGGCCACACCAATAATCTCACCATCGCTGCTTCGGATAGGCATGCACAAGAGTGATTTTGTCTTGTATCCAGTTAGTTTATCAATTTCATCATTGAATCTTCGATCCTAAAATAAGACAGAGAAGGCATTAAATGCATGTGCATTGTTATCGGGAAGAAAGGGAGATAAGTATATTTCTGTGTATGATATTTTATCACTAGGAACTTTACCCAATGAATTTTTAATAACAATACCAGATTCAATTTCATGCTGAAGTCACCAAAAGAACATAAATGAAAATAAATCATGGCCGTAGTTGTTAACCATGGTAAATGAAGAAAGAAGCTTTAAACCTGACTACAACAACATCTCAAAGTTGGTGAAGGGGCAAGTGTTTTTAATGGAACTCTATACTGTGGTATTTATTAAAATATTTTATTTAACATAGACAACAGATTATGAAGTATCATATAAGAAAAATACATAATAAATATATATTAGCCACTTTGAAAAATATGCAGAAAAGCACCACTTTACTTCTGGTCAAAATGTCCTATGAAAAAAGAACCTATGAGCCCATAATGATACTTTTAAAATATTAAAGCAAACGAACAAAAAAAGCAGGCTTCTTTATAGCATGTCAGCTTAAAAAATGTAGAAGTAGGGCACTTGGGCGGCTCAGTCAGTTGAGCATCTGACTCTTGTTTTCAGCTCAGGTCATGATCCCAGGGTCTAGGGATCAAGCCCTGTGTCAGGCTCTCTCTTTCTCCCTCTGCCCCTCTCTCCTGCTTGTGTTCTCTCGCTCTCTACCAAAAATAATAATAATAATAATATATGTGTGTGTGTGTGTGCGCGCGCGCGCGTGCGCGCGTGCATGCGTGTAGAAGGAGTGGTAAATTATATAATATCTATTTTGCAACTACCAATATAATAACATATACAAGGATCACCAACAGATGTTAATACCACCAGGTAAAAGGTTGTTGTTAAACAGAATATTCACATAGTCTCAGACTGCCACCCCAAAGATTCCCTATTAAATTCAAAGAGAAAAAGATATCTTTATCATGAAAATGTCTAGTGGAGATCACCTTAAACAAGTAAGCAAACTTAGCATTACCACTAATGAGACAAAATAATATCATGTGCCTCCTGATGGGATGCAATGTGATGAGGACACAATATCATCAAAAACATGTTGTGTTCTTGTCAAATGTGTAACATAAATCTGATCATTCAGGAAAAAGTAAAATTTTTAAAAATGCAGATTATTGGTCATTCTATCAGAAGCCTGACCTGAACCCTTCAAAAATGTCAATATCATGAGAGACAAAAAATTTTTAAACAAAAATAAATAGGGCCATGGGAGCTGTACTGGTTTAAAGAAGACTTAAGAAACTCAAAATCGGGGCGCCTGGGTGGCGCAGTCGGTTAAGCGTCCGACTTCAGCCAGGTCACGATCTCGCGCTCTGTGAGTTCGAGCCCCGCGTCGGGCTCTGAGCTGGTGGCTCGGAGCCTGGAGCCTGTTTCCAATTCTGTGTCTCCCTCTCTCTCTGCCCCTCCCCCATTCATGCTCTGTCTCTCTCTGTCCCAAAAATAAATAAAAACGTTGAAAAAAAAAATTAAAAAAAAAAAAAAGAAACTCAAAATCTAATGTGCGATCCTTCATTGAAAATTGTTATGCAATTTTTAAGGGGGATGACAGAGAAAGTTGAACATGGACATTATATTAGGTAATATCATTCTATTAACATAAACTTTTATAGGTGTGATAGTGGTTATTATAATTTTGTAGGAGAATGTTCTTTTTTTTAATGTTTATTTATTTTTGAGAGACAGAGGACTAATGGGGAAGGAGCAGAGAGAGAGGGAGACACAGAATCTGAAGCAGGCTCCAGGCTCTGAGCCGTCAGCACAGAGCCTGATGCAGGGCTCGAACTCATGAGCCATGAGATCATGACCCGAGCCAAGTAGGACTCTCAACCGACTGAGCCACCCAGGCACCCTGAGAATATTCTTTTATTAGGATATACATACTACAGTATTTGGGTGTGAAATGTCATAACACCTTCAACCTACTTTCAATGATAAGAAAGAGAAGGAAGGAAGGAAGGAAGGAAGGAAGGAAGGAAGGAAGGAAGGAAGGAAGGA